GGCAAAGAAATTCAGTGCTAAGCTACATGTACATTTTCAATTTCCGTCAAACCTTCACTACGCTACCGTCTGCCACCCCCTCTCCAACTCCCAATGTGCAAAATTTGGCTTGCTTGCACTTAACTGATGCTTGCACAGTTTGCACAATCTATTTCCATGCACCTTCTATGCACTCTTTGCCACTGAGTGCCACCGACCTCAACTACTCATTTGTCTACAGTGCAACGTTGCCATTTTAACGGCAGTATGCTTAAATGTAAGTGGCAGCTAAAAAGCTCTTGTAAGTCAGTAAGTGAGCTAGACAGACGTGGACGCATATTTTCTACCACCGAAAAAGCACATGTTAACAACAACAATTTTGTTGGAGCTCGAGAATTGTAATGGCAAAGGCTTTTAACTTATTCACTCGATGAGTTGGTGGCGTTGGTGGTCAATTGATTTATGTAGGAGATTTAGTATGCTCCTAATAGCGTGAGCTAGGGTAGACCTTAAGGTTTCTGTAGAGAAAGCTATCAATTGTGAGTTTTACATTTTTACATAAACTAGTTTGTCTTCTATTACATTCCTGAATTATTGAGTTATATAATAAATGTGTTAAAATTTGAGTTCAATAATATTGTTTTGCCTGAGCATCATACTAGTCAAAGACTGGTTGTGGTATGTATAATGAAATGCCATTTGGCGAAAAATTTATTAAATTGTATGCAACTTGATTTAAGCTCTCAATATTACGTTTGACAGTCTTCTATCGGTTAGTAACATAAAATATAACAATAAAAATTGCAGCACAATTGCAGGAATTAAAAGTACTGTTCTCACCGATAGTGCTACAGTTAAACTAAGGTACAGAACAACTAATTTTCTATATATATAATATATTCTTTAATGGTCAATTACTGTAATTTTCTCCGAAAACAGTTACTATACTGACATTTAGAGTACTATCAATTTTACAAAATTTTCATCTGCATATGTACATTCATAAAAGCACTTATACATACATAGATATATATCAATTTACTTTACTCAAGCAGAGAAAATCCACAAATGCTTAGTGCTGAATAAAAAATGAATTTAAATTAAATTTTTAGTAGAGAATGCAGACAAAATATTTTCTAAGGAAATATAAAATATAGATTAAGTTTTGTATGTGAATGTATATAAAAAAAAAGGAAAAAGAAAAAACTAAAATTAGTTATTTTAAAATGAAAGCACGGAACTGAAAAAAATGTAAAATGAAAATTTATTTTTGACAAAATCGGCGGTCTTGAAAGGAAGTGTGGCATATGAGCTTATAAAAATAGTAAAGCGTAGTGCAAATCCGCCATTTAACCATTCTTTAGGATGGCCTAGCAGAATAAGCTACTTTTTCTTGAAGTGTGGTGATGGCCTGAAACTTTGTTTTTGACTCGATTTATGACAAATATTCCCTCTAAGTCTCATCAATATTAATAATAGGCAGCAAGCAACTGTGGAGGTTCTTAGCAGCTACTCGTTCCACTGATGAATGCAGAGAATGCTCTTAGGAAATGAACTGAATTCAAAAGAGAAAAGGGGGGAAAAGCATTGGGATGCACAAAAGTTGAATTTCTTCTGCTGGATCTAAAATTTACAAACCTCAGTTTTAACTGCAAAGACACTGATACTCAATTAATTGTAATTTTAGCACATACATGAATTTATTTTATTTTAATTTTATTATAATTTATGGAATTTTGCTTAAATATTCATAGATTAATTTATTTTTAATTTTATTTCGTTTTATACTATATTTGTTTAATATTCCCTTTTCTTTATTTTTTATATTTTAGATTCATTTAATCATTTTTATTTTGATTTGCATTAATTTATTTTATTTTGTTTGAATTTTATCATGTTATTAAATTTTATTTACTTCATTATATATTATATTTATATTTTTGTTTTATTTTATTTTAACTTTTTATAACTTATTTTATATTTTCTTTTATATAATATTTTATATTAGATTAAATTTTTAATTAAACTTTTAGGTTTCTTAATTAAATTTAATTTTTTTTGTTTCATTTTCTTTAATTTAATTTAAGTTTTTTTCATATTATTTTATTTTGTTAAATATTTTTATTTTTTTCGACATTTTATTTTAATTCGTACAACTTAATTTCATTTAATTTTATCATATTTTGACAATTTGTTTTTATTTGTTTATTTAATTTTATAACATTTTTTTTTTATTTTAAATGTTTTTATTTGATTTTATTTTCTTATTTTATTTTATTTTATATATATATATATTAATTATATTATTTTTTTTTTATTTATTGAAATGAAGTTTTTCCTTCCGTTTTATTTATTTTTTTTTTTTAATTTTTTTAAAAGTAAAATAATTTAAGGTAAAGTTAATTTAATTTAATTAATTTAAATTTGTTTTGTTCCGTTCTATTTTATATTATAGCAATTCTTATTCTATATTAATTTATTGTATTTTATTTTATTTTCATTTTTAATGATTTTTTTTCGTTTTATTTTGTATTATATTGTTATTTAACTTATATAAATTTTAATTTTCCATAATAACCACCCTTAGCAAATGCACTAAATCCAACTCATCTTATATCGTCCTTCCTCTCTCGCTCTCTTGTTCGAGCAAGTCGTGACCAGCACGTTGTCTGAACCCGTTAGATGATCACGATGACATAGACCAATTTTGCCTTCCTCAAGACGGGATCAAACAAGCTGCTAAAACAACAATATCTCTCACTTTTAATGTATTTAACAACTTTCTTTACCGCGTAGATTTCAGCATAGACCACATTGTCGTGGCAGTTAGCACGAATGGGTTAAGCGAGAGAGCACCTTCTCCGACTCTAATATAATAGAGTAGTAGATCTATTCCTGCTCCCATGGGTGATCGTGGCAAAGCTTAGCGCTTGACTTGAAGTGGTTCTAAGCGTACCACAAATACATATCAGTCTTAGAATCTCACCAAAGAGGACATTTGCTGTTATTCTTCCCGCTATTTATTGAATAAAAATTTCTTAAAAAAAATTTATTACATAAAAAATGACAAATTTTAAATAGTTTACCATTTAGATCAAGTGAATGCAATTTAAATAAATATCTAGCATTGAAAAATTCAAAGAAAAGCTGCAGAAAAACGTGTTGCATGCGATGGAAATTTTCAAATTTACCAACTGACTGCGCCCTGTGCAGGCGACCGAAAATATATTGCACTTCACGCTTATCGCATCGAAGCGGTGGCAGAGGTGGCGCCAATGCCAACAAAACTCATACATGCAATAAACATATACATATGTATGTACATATGTATTATAAAGAAACAAAATAAGAAATGCAAAAACATTTATCATGCTGCACTACAAACGAATGCCCAATTTTGTGAGCAATTCACCACAGCCGCGCAGCGACACGCCACTTCGCCGCAAGCCGGCATTTAAGCGGCAAAATGACTGGCGAATGGTAGCGAAGAAGATAAGTGACGCAAGAGAGTAACAAAATGCGCAGAGTGCAAAGTGCGAGAGAGAGAGCAGTTTACACTATTGACTAGTGGCAAGCGGGTAAGACAAGCCTTAAAACCTTGAATTCTCAAGTCGAGTGTTGTTTTTTTATTTTTGAATATTTTGACTTACTCCGCTTTTCCGATGTTACACATTTTTATATGCAAAGCTGAATATAGATAGTATAAAATTTGTTTGCCATATATATACATACAAAAATTTATAGCTAAGTAAGATTTGAAATTTATGAAATTTATTCCAATGCTTACTGCCCCATTTACTGTTCGTTTTTGAGTACTTATACTTAAAATGTTTAGCATAAAATTTGAGTCATAAATTTACATCAGTTTATTTACGTTTCGTCTGACATGAGAAGTAAACACATATGATTTTGACACGCAAGCGTTTAGCTCATACGCTGAGTCAGCAGTTCGCTGTTTGCAACAGGGTTTAGCGGTAGAGTGGAAATATTTGAAATTTATATTACAATAAAACTAAAAGAAAATTATGCGAAAATAGTACTTGGGAAAATTTCATATAGGTGAAGAATAGTTTCTTTCTTAAATCTATTCTAAAACTATTCAAGAATATATCTTCAAAATTTCAATAGCAAACTGGACATATTTTAGAAGCTAGAGCATTTTTAGGGGCCAGGCGTCGTGACTGGTTCGAACATCCTAGCAGAACTTTGTACCCGTTTTCTTGAGTTTTCATTTCTACAAGTCTTAGAAGACAAAAAGAATATATGTCCTATTGAAAAAACCTGAGTGAGCTAGCTCCAGTACTTAGTTATAATCTATTTAAGACCAGGTTCCACTAACGAATTTTAAAAAAAATTTAAATTGCTAGAAATGCTCTAAGAAAAAATATAGAAATATAGACATGGCACCGAAACATCGAGTTTCTTTTTGAATCCAAGATTGTGCAAATTTTACCAAACGATTTTCTGGCTTATCTTTAGTTCCTCAGCAACTAAATAAGTACTCACGTGACCGTCTGTTTTCACTATTTCCATGCAATCCATGCAATTTTCGACGACAGGCCTCCCGACGCGTGGTGCATCTTTGACATCGAAATCCCCGGATCGGAACCTAGCAAACTCCTTTTGTGCTACACGTTTCGTCTACAGTATCGGGCCCATAAACTAAATTAATTTTTTCAGCCGCTTTGGCTGCTTTTTCGTCTTGATCTAAGAAAAATTATAAAGAAATAGCGAATTTTCTCTTTGCTGGTGTCCATCTTTGACGAGCGCTCACAACGTACTGAGTCAATAAATCGGAAAACTGTTAAAGACAAACTTTTAGCGCAAGTAATCACATTTTTAGCGCCGTAAAGTATAACATGATGCGACACGTAACACTAGTACTATGGACAATAACGCCATTTCTTAGATAAAAACCGAACGAACTTTTTACTTGACCTAATACCTACATTGATGTGAAAAATTTTTTTATAAATCATTTTTTATTAAAAGTGAAAATCTCTATATTGACTCTCTTTCAGTTTACTCAAAACTTGACTTCCAAGGATCACTATGAGAAAGTCCACCTCTAAGATAGGAATATCGCCAAAGAAATTTTATGGTATGTATAAAAATTTCAAAAATATTTTGACCTGTGAGCCAGTTCCCGCTATCCATTTGCAGTATCCTTTTGTGGGAGAGTATTTTTTGCCACAAGCTATTACTCATGTCTTACTGCTGATTGTTAATTGATTGATTGATTTTTTGAACGACTTAAAACAAGCGACTGTGTGTTGATGATAATCCACTGTCTGGCCGTACGTCTCCGTAGACGATAACTTAAGTTATGATTAAGATATTTAGATGAAACTTGTTTCACTAAATCCATGGCTCGAAAGTGCCAGGATGATTTTAAATGGAAAAAATGGAATTAACTTCAAGTCCAACATTCATATAATTTTAAATTTTAAGAGTACGAAAACTGTTAAAATTCAGGAACTAAATGCGCGATTAAAATCTTTTTTGCATCAAATGGTAAATATGTAAGGGGTGAACAATAATTTCCAGTAGGCATGGCACCAACCTCATTGCGGTCAAAAATTATATCGCAAAGAAGTATTGGTATCTACAAGAATTGAATATGTCCCATATACAAAGAGGACTTTTTGAGTTCTACCTAGTGAGGCATGTAAGACATTAACCAACCAAACTCAGTCAAACTTGATTATGCTAATTTTAATGAAGACTAAAGACGTGGTGAAAACTTCCGAAATGGTTTCAGAAATAGGCTTGCTTTCCATATAACAGGCCGATTTGTGGGCTTAATACAGATATAAGCCAAATAATCTTTTTCGAATACTTCTTTTTAAAGAGTTAATTGCTTTTAAAGTTTGGGTTTTTCAAAAGCATTAATTTATTCCGATATGTTTTTGTTTTTATTTCTAGAATTTAAGCTTTATCCACAAGTTTTAAGTTTTAAATTTTTTTATATTTTTTTTATTATATTTAAATAGTTTTAACAAGTTATCAATTTTTTTTGAGGATTTTTAATTTGACTTCAAATTTTTCTAAAATACTTACATTATTTATAAAATTAAAAAAAGAAGATTTTTCTGGAAAAATGTTGGAGATCATATTTGAAAAATTTTTATTCGATAAATATTTTTCTGAATTTTTTAACTGAATTTAATATGATCCTGTCATGAGTACTGTTCTCTGCGAAGACACACCTTCCTTCTGACTGTTTAACGGAGAAGACCCAGCCATTAAACCGTTTATTTAAAAAAATTATATTTTAAATAAAGTACTTCTACAAAATTTAGTTTCACGTATCAACTCCGTATATTTTTAAAAAATATAATGCCCTAAAATTATTTGTTTAATATCAAAAATGGGCATAAGAAAATAAGCAATAAACTAATATGAAATTACTTGGGTTACGTATACGCATTGTTTCACCACAACATTATTGGTATTGAATATTATTTTATATAATTTTTAAGCATTACTATTTTCAAGCTTTTATTTTCTGTTAATTTTTGTTTTTACTTTCATAATTTTTTTATTTGAATTTTAAAATTTTTTTAAGCCAACATTTACAGATTTCCAAATATCACTCACACCCATAGGCTCCCTCTACATGGCACTGAAATATACACTAGTTTGGTATACCTGCACATACACAGCAAATAACCGCATACAAAATGTAAGAAATAAAATAACTAAAAAGCTAAAATCAGCATTTTAGACACGTAAAAGGGAAGGAGAGAGAAGAAATTATTGTATACAAGTAGAATGCAGAAATGTCCTTGGGCAAAAGTAAGTTTTTTCTACAACTGAAAAAAATATATGCGAGTGACGATAAAAAGAATGTAAGTGAATATGTGTAAAAAAGAAAATAAATTACAAACCTTACAATTGTATGCAAGTCTATATGCAACTAAGTATGTTAACAGAAATCGTCGTGGAAATTTAATATAGTGCAACCAAAAAAAAAGAGGAATAAATGCAGGAAAAACCACAAAGAACTTGCGCTCAGAGTAAAGAGTATATGAGCACGCAGCATACCAGCAGGGGGTGGAATTTCGTTGCTCTCCGTTTTAGATGCAATTCTTTTTTCTTTCACTATATTTTATTTTTATTTTTGCCCTCTTTTTCCGTCAGGATGTTGAGTTTAAGTGCGGTGGCAAGTGCATAAAATGTTTTGTAAGCATTTTTTCAGACTTTTCAGATATATATTACTATGCAGGGGCGTGTGCATGTGTTTTTGGCGCCGAAAACTTGGCTGACATTTTCCGCGTTTGGCATGAAATTGCATTTTTACGAACAAAACAGGGAAAGAGCACACACATCTGCATGTGTTTAACTGCAATGGCAGTACTTGTCAAATACCCATTTGGGAAAGAGACAATGTCTCAAGTGAACTCTTGATGGAGTGACTGCCGAAAAAGGCACAAACGGCTCAATAATTAATACTTTAAATCAAAAACATGACGAGAATCGATAATCTGAAATAAAAAGTGCACTTGGAATTGGCATTTAAAGACCATATGAATCGGCTTCCGAGAAAAAAAAGGCTTGTGGCACTCTGGTAATTAAGCGATTGTCAATCCTCTGCCGATCTACATTTACTAAACCGTATAAGGGCTCAATTTTGTGAGTTTCAAACAACATTGAACAGAGATAAAAAAAGCAAAAAAAAAGATATAATAAAAAAATAAAAACAAATAAAATAAAATTAAATAAAATAAAATAAAATAAAATAAAATAAAATAAAATTAAATAAAATAAAATAAAATAAAATAAAATAAAATAAAATAAAATAAAATAAAATAAAATAAAATAAAATAAAATAAAATAAAATAAAATAAAATAAAATAAAATAAAATAAATTAGTCCAATTAAATTAAATAAAGATAACTTTTTAAGTGAATGAGTCAGTAACAATTACTTAATTACGAATTTATAAACTATTAAATATTATTAATTTTATTTCTAGTTAAGTTACTATTTCATATACTTTATTTTTGTAAAATTTGGTTTCAGATAATTGGTTATGCTCTTTCTCGTACACATATATACATATGTTTGAATAATGGAATGCATCTTTGCAATATCTTATGTTTATTTCAATTTAATTTTGTATTGATTCGCTTAGCCCCAGATGAAAATGTGCGATTGAGAGAAAATTGAACATAATGAAAGTGAGTTAAGGGCTTTCTGAAGGACATTCATGCATATCTATGTGTATGTACATATGCCATCAAGTGTCATTGAATTTGTTTACTGTTTTACCGACCTTGCACATTGAACAGAAGTTGCAAATAAAAAAGAAAAAGAAAAGAATAGAAAAGTTATAAAAACTGACATATTTTCTCCTCTTTTGTGAGCATTAATACATCTCTGTCAAGACAAAGTTTTGATATTTTACAGAAATATTAATTAAAAATAATTAGTTAACGCCCGCAAGGCAACACATGACCCACTTTTGTTTGTGTGAAATAAATTAAAAGCAAATCCATGTTTTTTAATTCCTTTGCAGTATACATGTACGCGTATTTGTGAGAAGTAACGGTTCATTTACTATGTAAACAAAAATAAATTTGAGCATTTAGTAAATGTTTCACCTACGCCATTTCCTCTCACTTGTGACACACAAAAGTGCGCTGCCAAGCAATATCACTGCAACAACAACAGCAACTGCCCGATGCCTTACTTTCTCTCTACCTTTTGACCATTTCACACAATCAGCAGCATTGTTTGCATTGCTTTAGTGCACGAAATTGGAACTAGAAGAAGAAAAGGAAAAAAGGCCAATTGATTGGCTCTTACTTACGTTGTCCAAGCAGCGAGCGATTTTATTACTCGGAAATTCGTGGAATTTAGTTGCATTGGCATGGGAGTGCGGCATGTGAGCAGGAGAAGTAAGTAAGTCAATTGAACCTCTTGCAAGCCATTTCATTAACGAGAAGAAAAAAAAAAACGTTTATAAATATTTGTGGAATTTTCGATGTCAAATTGAGCGCTGATTTTGCCAGTGGTGATGTGCAGTATTTTGTGAGAAAAGGCGAGGTGAATTGGCAGTGTGTTGAGTAAATATAATTAACGGGATCTAATATACATATACATTTTTTTAAATCTGTCATTTTGCATATTGCATATATATATAACTATTGAATTTATCATGAAAGGAGTGTAAGCTTATTTATTTTTGTTATATAAAATATTTATAAATACCTTTATAAAGAAAATGTAACACAATTTAAATAAGCAGATTAGAAAAAAAATTACAACAAAAGGCAATGCACTTGTATCCATTTGACCGGGGTACCTTGTTGTGAATTCATTACGCTAAAATGTTAGTAACACTCAAGAGCCAATGTGCAACGTGAAGTAATACTTTATTGTAAGTTTCGCAAGCGGAGTGTTAGTTCGCGAGGAGGTGCTTGGTATGAGGATGCACCTGTGAGGTTGCCAGTCGTGCGCGCCCATATAAACGGACAAGTATTTTTATACGAACACACATGTACACATATAAAAATCGTTTAGGTATTTCAATTCTCCACTTTCGCTTCACTACAAAATTGCGGAAATGCAGAAGAATCGCGAGAAAAATTGTTTTATATTGAAAAAGTGACGAGACGGGTATGGTCTAAGTAAGGTATTTAAGGAGCTTTGCCGCGAAGAATGAAAGAAAAGAAAACAGAGAAATTGAAAAAAAAAACACAGCAACAAAACTCGAAAACAAATTTACTTATGTTCATTGTACGTGACATTTTTACCATCGACAATTTATCGTCTCTCGCATGAGTGCACGTGCGGTGGGTGCGCAGAGAGGGTGCAGCAAGTGAGTTTTGTTTACATTTCCGGGAGCTCATAGAAAAGTTTAAAACTTTTAAGAAAGGTAGTACATGGCTTACGTGTTGTAAGCTTTTATGCTTAACTACATATGAATATATGCCCACATGCACATATGTATTTATATAACACATTTATATATACACGAGTAAAGCAATCATCATATACGCTTAGGAAAGATATAAAGATTTGTGTCTTTTATTACTGTACGTGGCGAGGTTGCGAATAAAAATAATATTTGCTTAAATTTATGTATATTTGTAT